GCAACGCGCTGCTGCCGGGCGCCGAGCCGGCCGCGCACTGCTACTGCGGCCACCAGTTCGGCCAGTTCGCTGGGCAGCTGGGCGACGGCGCCGCCATGTACCTGGGCGAGGTGTGCCCGACGGCCGGCGAGCGCTGGGAGCTGCAGCTCAAGGGTGCTGGCCCCACGCCCTTTTCCAGGTGCGCGCCTCGCGAGCCGCCCGCCCTCGCCGCGCTTCGCCCCGCTGCGGCGCAGACCCACACGGGGGCGCTAGAAAGTGGCGGGAGGCAGCTGGTGCTGCAGCTCTTGTAAAGACAGCGAAGCACGACCGAGGTCCTTGTCGCCAGGGAAGCGGGCAGGGAGGTCAGGGTGTGGCCTTCGGGGCTGGAAGGCGGTCTTGGCCTCCAGGAAGGACATTCTGGACACCGTGGCGTTCTGGCCGCTAGCGGCTCAGGTTCCACCTCTCGGAGCACGGTGTGGGCAGCTGCTTACCGAGCCCACCTTAGGCTCACGGTAGCAGCGAGCGGGGTCCCCCGGGACAGCCACCTCACAGGAGTGCTAAAAGTTTCCTCTACGCTGCCGTTCACCGACCCGGCGTTGGGGCGCAGTGCTGACTCCTGTTTGGGGGTGTGCCAGTGGCTCTCTGCCCAGGGCAGGCCCCGCTTGGGCTCTGTCCCCAGAACGGCCTTCATAGCCACACTGAACGATTGTCCCAACAGCCACGAGAGTCGCCTAAGTTGAAATGCTAGGAACAAAAAACGTCCTGTCCTGGACTTTGCGTCTTGCAGTTCCGGAGCTCTGAAGCTCACCCCGTCTCCCTGCTGAGGACGCCGGCACACACACTGACCGGCCGGGCCTCCACTTCAGGAGGTGGTGGCTCTCCTGGCCCAGTGCCACTCTTCCTCCCACTCACCTGTGGCCGCCCGCTTACCCCCTGCTCTCCTGCTTTAGAAAGACAATGGGGACCCTGTGGAAAACAGTTAAAACCCGCTCAGATCCGTCTGAGTGAACCAAAAGCCCTGCCTTCCAGAAAACACATGTCGGCGTGTGTGCCATGCTCTCGTGTCTGCCGTGCCCACGTGCGTGTCTGTCTGTCTGCAGGCCCTGCACCCTGGCTTGCTGCAGCACACACAGGCCCTCAGCTCGGGGTCGCCGAGTGCTCATCTGCTTTGCTGTGTCCTGCAGCTTGTCTTCCCGCCCTGGGCATCTCCTGTGCATGTGGCCGAAATCAAGCCCCTTCCTTCAGTTGCCAGCCAGCCTTTAGTGTGGGTGCCCAGCAGGGCCCCATGCAGTGTACCAGTCAGTCCTCTGGTGACCCCACACTGGTGCTTTTTTTTTTTTTTTTTTTTAATTGTGATTTGGCTGAAAATTTATAGAGCAAATTCATCCTCCCTACAGCAGTTCATACATATTTTATTTCATGACATTGACCAATTTCCCTTAGTGTAACATCTCTCTTCCCATGTCCTCCCGGTAGTTACCTCTTTCCTGTGTCCTTCCCTCCCATGGACTCCTGCCCCACCCCTCCAAGCTATCTCCTTGTACAAACACTGCCCTTCTGTTCTCCCATGATTGATCTCTCCAAGGACTGTATCTATCTGATGTAAATGTTCACCCCATAAGCCTGTTTATTATTTGGCTAGAAGCCACAGGAGTGAGTTCAATTCCGGACCTAAAGGGTGACTAGGGGCTGTCATTTCAGGGGTCTCACCAGGCTTTATCAAACCAGTAAACCTGGTCTTTTATGATTTCAAGTTTTGTTCCACATTGTTCTCCCACTCTATCCAGGATCTCCTATATAGATCCCCCTCAGAGCGCTTGACAGTGGTAGCCAGGGACCATCTAGTTCTTCTGGTCTCATAGTCTTCTAGACTGAGGATCGCACGGTGTACCAGTCACTGGGACTAATTGTTTCTGTGCGTCTTTGGTTTTTCTTCGTTCTTTGCTCTGGATGAGGAAAGACCCATCATTGCATCTAGATGGCTGCTTGCAAACTTTTAAGATCCCAGTCGCTACTCCTTAAAGTAGGATGTAGAGCAATGTTTTGTGTAGTATGTTACACCACTTGACCTAGATGTCGCCTGTGACTATGGTCCCAAGCCCACAGGTCCAACTGCTTGCTCCCTCAGGGTGGTTGGCTGTGGCCAAGAAGTTATAACTTTGCCCCTTGTCAGCTCTATTAAATGTTCAGACATTCTCACAGCACATACAAATACACGTGGTGGAAATTTCACTTGCCAGCATTATGTATGGTCCTGGGTATATTCCCTTCTGCCTAGACAAACCTGATCATTCAACCTGTCTGCCCGTCTATTTCTCGGAAGGAAAGTTGGGCAATCCTACTTCTGTAGTGATACTGCCTCGGAAACCCAAGGAGGGGTCGCTATGAGTCAGGGCCGACTCAACGGCAAACAACAACAACCCGTCTATTTACCTGTAGATTAATGTTTGTTACCGCTGACAGCATAGTATCGCAGTATTGTGTAGGGAAAAGGGTTCATGTCTCATCGCTGGCAACGCAGTATCGAATGGGGAACAGGGTTCATCTTTGTTGTCTGTATCAGTTGTGCACCTTTCTGTGTCTTCCTGTTCCTCGGTGCCACCGTGCGGATTATTCCCTTTTGGTACATTGCCCTTCCCTTCACCCAAATCAACACCTGTCTCTGCCTGCCTAGCCGCACTCTGCCTGTCTGTGGCCGGAGCGGAGCTGGGCCCGGCCTGACGGCTCCCCCGGGTCTGGTTCCAGGCAGGCTGACGGCCGCAAAGTCCTGCGCTCCAGCATCCGGGAGTTCCTGTGCAGCGAGGCCATGTTCCATCTGGGGATCCCCACCACGCGGGCCGGGGCCTGTGTCATGTCTGCCTCCACGGTCGTGCGGGACGTGTTCTATGATGGTAATCCAAAGCGTGAGAAGTGCGCGGTCGTGTTGCGCCTAGCTCCCACCTTCCTAAGGTAACACGGGTGCCTCAGGCCGTCCGCTTGCTTCAGGGCACTGCAGGGGCGGCCCAGGGCAGCGGGGGAGGGCAGCAGCCGGCCCGTCCAACACGGCAGCAGCCTGTTCGTGACACAGACCTGTCTGAGTTGGGAGACTGTGCGATGCTGGGAGGACGGGCGGAGAGCCGGTCGCCCCACAGACAGCATGGCGTCACCAGCTGTGTCCTGCTGACTGGGCCAGTGGCTCCTCTCAGCCCGGACGGCCGGGTGTCCCAGGCAAGAGAAGATGCTGGCCTGCCCTAGGAGAACACTGCGGCTCCAACCCCAGCGGCACCTTCATGTGGTACCATTGGCATTCTTGGAGGGGGGCTGTCTGTGAAGCACCCCCACCTCCACCCAGCCAATGCCAGTGGCAGCCCCCTGGTGAGAGCCATTGCCACCACCTCACGGACACGGTGCCTGGGGGGAGCTCGGCCCCCAGGGCGGGGGATGGGGCAGAGCTGTCTGTCCGCGGTGGAGGAGTTGCAGCATCGCTGTCCTTTTCCCGGTGGGGGCCAGCATCCTGGTGAGGACTGGGCTGTGTCTTCACCCGTTGCCTTCTGGGTCTCTTGTCAGGTTTGGGTCTTTTGAGATCTTTAAGCCCGCAGATGCACACACGGGGCGTGAGGGCCCCAGTGTCGGGAGGAACGACATCCGTGTCCAGATGCTAAACTACGTGGTCAGCTCCTTTTACCCCGAGATCCAGGCAGCCCACCCCGACGACCCTGTGAGGAGGAATGCCGCCTTCTTCCGGGAGGTGGGTGGGCACAGCTTTCGGGCCTTGCCCCGGTGCCGTCTGCAGCCCCTCTCTGTCCCTGCCCCTCCTGGTGATGAGCAGCAGGGTACGTGCTGTTCCAGGTCCAACCAGGGTGGGTTTCTCAGAAGCCAGCACTGTGGGGAGGGTCTCTCTGCTCCGGTGGCATCCAGGGGCTCCTGCCCTCGAGCACACTCCTTCAGGGCAGCTCACAGGCCAGGAGGGCGTGGAGAGAAGGAGCAGCCTGCCATGCAGGCAGAGTGGGAGAGAAGCTAGCAGCCTCTGTAGGTTTAAAGTACTTCTTCCTTCTCAAGTATTCGTAAAAGCTCTCCCCTACTCTTGAGCGTTGGCCGAGAGAGTGGCTGTCATAGACAGCCGGGGATGTGGTTGGCAGAGGGCCTGGGGTGGGTGGGGCACTTAGGAACACCACACCATCTGCCCAGGTGACACGGCGCACGGCCCGGATGGTGGCTGAGTGGCAGTGTGTGGGCTTCTGCCATGGTGTGCTCAACACGGACAACATGAGTATTGTGGGGCTCACCATCGACTATGGGCCCTTCGGCTTCCTGGACAGGTCAGTGCTGACCTGGAGGGAGCACAGTGCTAGGGGAGCGGGCAGGGGGGTGTCCCAGCCTCGGGCCGTGCTGTGTGTGACGCCTCGTCCAGTCGGGGGCGTGGGAGGCTGGCCCCCCTCGGTGGTTACAGGAGGGTCCTGGAGCTGCTGTGTGCACAGTGGACTGAAGCACCAGAGGGGGCGCCCTGCTGCATCTTCCTGCTGTTGCAGGTATGACCCTGACCACGTGTGCAATGCCTCAGACAGTGGAGGGCGCTACACATACAGCAAACAGCCTGAGGTATGCAAGTGGAACTTGCAGAAGCTGGCGGAGGTGCTGGTGCCCGAGCTGCCCCTGGAGGTGGGCGAGGCTGTGCTGGCTGAGGAGTTCGACGCCGAGTTCCAGCGGCATTACCTACAGAAGATGCGCCGGAAGCTGGGCCTGGTGCGGGTGGAGCTGGAGGAGGACCTGCAGCTGGTGGCCCGGCTCCTGGAGACCATGCACCTGACCGGTGAGCCTGCCCTTACCTGCGCAAGCTCCAGCTGACCTCAGGGTGGGCTGGTGCTGGCTGGGGGGCCCCCTGAGGGCAAAGGGGCCGTCCAGCAGGGTGGGGTATCTTTCCGGCCGGGAGCAGGTGGCCTGCCTGCTGCCCCCTGACCAGCTACATTGCAGGGGCTGACTTCACCAACACCTTCTGCCTGCTGAGCACCTTTGGGGGATGGCCCTTGTTACCAGACCCGGCAGCCTTCGTGGACCAGCTCCTAGAGCAGTGTGCGTGCCTGGAGGAGTTAAAGAGGGCACTGCAGCCCCAGATGGACCCCCGGTAGGACCCTCGGAGTTTGGCTCCAGAAAGGGAGGGCTGTGTACAATCAGCTCCTGGGGTACCAAGTCCATTTGGTGGAACCATTGGGCATGGGGAGGGTTAGCAGGTGTCTTGGCTAGTAGGGCATCTGTGGCCTTGGGCCATCCAGGCCCAGAAGGCTTTGTGCTGGGAGGGCAGCAGTGCCATCCACGAATGGCAGTCTCTGGGCCTTGGGTGTCCCCAAAGGGCAGCCCTAGTTTCTGTGCCCAGCTGTACCTCTCCCCACAGCGGGAGAACTGGGCATCGCAGAGCTCAGGAGTTGGGGGTGGGGAGAGTGGCACTGCTGCTCTGCCTTGTGGCTTTCAGTTACAAACCAGCAGACGGTGGCTGACTGGAAAGGGCTTTATTGTAGGAACAGGGGCAGGTGAGGGCCAGTCCAGGCCTGGGCCAGCACCTTCCTGCAAGCACTGGGACTGGAATTCTCCAGGGGGCCTGCAGCTCACACCCCACCCCCTGCAGGCAGCTCTCTCTGATGCTGATGCTGGCACAGTCGAACCCGCAGCTGCTGGCCCTCGTGGGTGGGCAGGCCGGCCTGGCACGTGAGCTGGAGCGCATCGAGCAGCACTCGCGGCTGCAGCAGCTGAGCCCAGCCGAACTGCAGAGCAAGAACCGTGCCCTCTGGACCAAGTGGCTGCAGGAGTACAGGTGAGACCACACCTGCCCCAGGTGTCGGGAGGGGGAGGGAAGGAGGTGGCCAGCACCTTGACAGCCTGCTGGTTCAGTGCACGCCTGGAAAAGGACGCAGAAGGTGCCGGCAACCCTGACGCATGGCAGGCAGAACACGTGCAGGCCATGCGTGACAACAACCCCAAGTATGTGCTCCGAAACTACATTGCCCAGAATGCCATCGAGGCTGCAGAGAATGGAGACGTGTCGGAGGTGAGGGACCTGGCCAGTGCCTTCACTGCCTTGGGGGGCAGCCCCGCCCGGGCTGGAGCAACCTTCACCCCTGCCGTCCTGCAGGTTCGGCGGGTGCTGAAGCTGCTGGAGGACCCTTACCGCCAGGAGGAGGATCCCTTGGAGATCCCGCAGGCTGGGGAGGCTGCTGGGGCAGTGAGCCCGCGGTGCCCTTACAACAGCAGGCCCCCTCTGTGGGCAGCCCAGCTGCGTGTGACGTGATCCTCATAGTGTCTCGGGCAGAGCCCGAGCTCCCGTCTGCACGCTGCTGTATCTGAGACGCTGTCTCTCCATGGTGGCAGAGATGTCCAGTCCAACGTGACCTGTCTCTGCCTGATGCTAACCTGGCAGCGTGCCCAGCCCCCTGCTCCCAGTGGCCCCAGGGCAGGGTGCCTCACTCAGTACAAGCAACCGGCATCACACAGGCTATCGCCCCAGGGGGGCACGTACAAGGTCCCTGCAAAGAAGCCCAGCCCCCAGCCCCCAGCCCCCAATAAACCTGCAACTCCCTTAATGTGGGATGGTCTCTGTGTCCCCGTCAGGCGTCCTGGTAGTAGTTGTTGAAGTTGATACGCAGCAGGAAGTCCTCCAGGTGGGGCTGGTAGCCACGGTTCACCAGCTTTGTCACCACTGTGGGCCCAGGCCATCAAGTGCACATGCAACACAGTGCAACACTGCAGATGTGTACACAGCACACGTTAACACACACACACACACCCGGGTCACAGGGCCTCACCTTTGAAAAGGAAGTGGGAATAGTACTTGAAGGTGCTGTATGACTGCTGCATGAGGGTGAAGTTGGGGTGCTCAGCACCCCGGGACTGGGCAGCAGGGCCCCAGGCCTGGGAGATGAGCTGGCTACGGAACTTGAGGACCAGGCTGAAGATGCTGTGGATGATGTTCATGACAGGGGCCGCCTTCTCTGTCAGCAGACCCCTGGGGGGAGGAGGGATGGCACTCACAGGACGGCCAGAGGGAGGTGCGTGCACGCTCCGGCCCCACCCTGCTGCCCAGCGCGGTCCCGGGCGCCATCACAGGTGTCCACAGGCAGCCTCACCGGAAGACAGCCTTGTTGAGGTATTCAGCATGGGCCCGCTGGACTTCCTCCAGGGTGCCCACGGCAGCCAGCTTGCTCCTGAACTCGCACCATGTGACATGCAGGATCTGGGTGGCCACGTAGCCCTGGATGACCTTCACAAAGTGCTGCATCTCGTGCTTGAACAGCTGCAACTGGCGGAGCTGCACGGAGCCGGCCGCCTGGCTCACCAGTGCTGGGGGGATGGTGGAGGGGTGGACGGGTGAGGGGGCTCCGTGCCCAGCTCACAGTGCTGGGGGATGGCAGGGGCACAGGGACAGGCGAGGGCCCACCTGTGCGCTTGAGGTGGCCACAGATGTCCTTCAACGTCCACATCATGAGTTTCAGCTGCAGCAGGAAGGAGAAGATGCGGCCATACTTGCTTAGGCAGCTCTCGGTGATGACAATGTTGAGAGGCCAATCCACCTGTGAGAGGAGGGGATCAGCCCGGTGCCCCACCACCCGCTCCCTCCCCAGCCACAGCAGGGCGAGTGCTGACCTTGTACCTGAGCTCTAAGCAGCTCAGTACGTCGGGGGCATTGGGGGCGAACACCTCAGGCAGGAACTTGAGGGCGAAGGAGAGGTTGGCGGCCAGGGGGCTGTCTCCATGGAGGCTGTACTGCAGAGCCTTGCTCAGGACTGAGCCCAGGGCCACCGGGCTAAGGAGTTCCCCAGGCGTCTGCCCAGACCCCAACTGTGGAGATGGCAGCATGCAGAATGGGGCCCCAGGGGCGGCCCTGGGCCCGGGCCATAGGCCCCCAACAGGCTGCAGGGGCTGCCCCGAGCCTAGGCCTCACCCCTGCCCCTGCCCCACCAGCGCGAGGGCATCACCTTCTCAAACAGCAGGTCGCTGAGGGATTGGGCGAACTCTCCGTCCTCCATCAGCAGGAAATGCCGAAGCGTCTCTAGGTGGGTCCCGAGGTGGAGCTCCACAAAGTAGAAGTCCACTGCAGCCTTGTTCACCAGGGAGACGCTGCAAGAGCAGGGGCGGCTGGGGCCGGGCAGACGCCAGGTCCGGGGGCCGGCCCCAGGGAAAGGGAGTGCACTGCAGGGGGCAGGGCTGGGCGCAGGGCAGGTGCTCACTGGGCGGCCAGCGGGGCGGAGAGGGAATGCTTCAACAACACTGGCAACGTCAGCAACTCGCTCAGCTGCACCGCGGTCTCATCCGTGGCGGGCAGGGCCCGGGAAGCCACAGGGGAGGAGGAGGAGCGAGCCAGCACATGGGGCAGGAGGTGGGCGGCAGGAGGCTCTGCTACAGAGAAAGCAGAGGTGGCCCTGAGTCCCCCAGGGAGGGAGGGCAGACCCAGCTCTCCCGCCACCCCTGTGGCCGGCCCACCGCCCCAGCAGGTCCACTCACACATGGCCTCATAGCTGTCGGGGTACTGCTCCAGGTGGTACCGCACCGCCAGGCCCTCCAGGTAGGCCCATTCCTCCCCGCCTGGGCTGCTCTGGGCAACCTCACCTGCCTAAAGAGAAGCCTACCTAGAGACCGACGCGCAGCACGCGGCTCCGAGACCCCGGAGGCTCCGCAGAGGGGCTCAGTGGCGTGTGCTCCCCACCCCTCACGGCCTGCCTCCCTCCTGAGCCACAGCTGCACCCCTTACCTGCAGAGTCAAGGGCAGACTGGGAGAGGCAGTGCTGTCACCGCTGTGCCTGGGGCCTGATGGGCACAACAGAGTAGGGGGTGTCAGCCCCATGTGCCTCCCAAGGGGCTGAGGGGCAGAGGAGCTGGCTGGGTGGGGTGCTCCCTACATGGCCCCTGGGCAAAGGCCCAGGTCTGGCAGACAAGAACCAGAAGGTGGCTTCATGGGCCCTCCTCCCACCCTGCCCACTGAGGCCTGTAGATGCCAGAAGGGACATTCTCCACAGGCCTATCTCATGACCACCAGCAACCCGCCCCTCTAACCTGGCTCCCCATCTGAACCCGGCTCCTCAGGGACACGATCTCCCAGGGTGCTGGGCACAGCTGCAGCACTGCACTCAACCTGGAGATCGCCCTCCTCTGTGCTGACCAAGGTGGCCACCTGAGCCATCTCTGAAGGCAGCTGTGGGTCACGTTCCAGGGAAGAACTCTGTGCTCCTAGGTCTGACTGGACCACATGGCCAGAGGGGCTCAGGTGGGCCCCAGATGTCGGCGGCCCTGCTTCCTCAGAGAGTGCCCCCAGCATCGTGTGCAACTGAGAGGCATGGATGTTCCACCGTGGCCGGGAGGAAGCCACATCCGAGACATTCTCCCCAGTCTTAATACTGGCATCAGACAGGTGGCCATGGACACTCCACCGTGGCCGGGAGGGGACCACATCCGAGACGTTTTCCCCAATCTTGATACTGGCATCAGACACGTGGCCATGAACACTCCACCGTGGCCGAGAGGAAGCCACATCTGAGACATTCTCCCCAATCTTAATATTGGCGTCAGACACGTGGCCATGAACACTCCACCGTGGCCGGGAGGAAGCCACATCCGAGACATTCTCCCCAATCTTAATATTGGCATCAGACACGTGGCCATGGACACTCCACCGTGGCCGGGAGGGGACCACATCCGAGACGTTTTCGCCGATCTTGATACTGGCATCAGACACGTGGCCGTGAACACTCCACCGTGGCCGGGAGGGGACCACATCCAAGACATTCTCCCCGTTCTTGATACTGGCATCAGACACGTGGCCATGGACACTCCACCGTGGCCGGGAGGGGACCACATCCGAGACATTCTCCCCGTTCTTGATACTGGTGTTGGACACGTGGCCTGGGATGCTCCAGCGTGGCTGGGAGGGGGCCGTCTCAGAAGCATGACCCACTGAGGAAGCACCGCCACCAGACGTGTACGTTAGGAGCTGATCCTGGCACCCGATGCTCCCTTCCTCGGCAGGCCCAGGCCTAGGTGGGGGCAGGTGAGGCTGAGCCACCAGCACTTCAGGGATCCAAGTGTTCAGCTTCATAGGAGTGTCCCACCGCAGCTGAGGGCCCTCATGGCCCGAGTCATCCCCTGCAGCCCGGAGGGGTCCTGGAGATGCCTGGGTGGTCAGAGCTGGCCTCAGGACGGTACTGAAATCATACTCTTGCCCCCGGGAGGGCTGCATGCCAGCCACTGTGGGCACCTCCTCTGCACTGGAGAAAGGCAGGTCTGAGCTAATGTTCTGCAGTGCCTGCTCCAGCAGAGGGGACTCCCCTGGGAAAGGGGTCACCCCCAAAACGGGGGCTTCCCCCAGGATGGGGGCGTTCCCTGGCATAGGGGCCACACTGGCCTCCATGGGCTGCTCTACCCCTAGGCCCATGGGCAGGAAGTCTTGTATGCTGACGCCAGCAGAGAAAGGCTTGGTTTCTGCTGTAGGAGACCCTGGGGACCGAGGTGACAGGACAGCCATGTGCTGCTCTGCAGACGTGGGGTCATGGCCTTGGCCTCCACCTGGGGGCTCCACATCTGGGGGCTCCACATCTGGGGACACGGCCTGGAATACAAGTGCACAGGGGACAGGATCTGGGCTCACTTTCTCTGCCCAGTTATCTAACACCTACCCTCAGGTGCCAGGCGAGGGCAGCAGGCTTAGTGCTTGCACGTACCTCTGGGCTGGTACACCTGGTGGCCACCAGGCTCTGGGTGCCCTCTGGACCCATCAGGAACCTCCCCCCACCAACCACTCACCTGAGGATGTGCTGCCCCTGGTCCAGGCAGGCATGTGGCAAGAGCGCGCTCAGCCAGTGGCTGTCGGCACATGCCCTCAGACACCTCCTTCAGGAGCTCCTGGAATCAAAGCCAGCAGGATAGGAGGCGGTTCCCATGGGGCCCGCACAGGCAGAACTGAAGCCAAGCATGGCTGCCCCTGCCCTGCACAGCACCAGCCGCAGACGCCACGTGAGCCAACGTGCCACCCGGCGAGTGCTCGGCAAATGCCAGCTACATCACCTCAGCTCCGACCAACACAGGGCCCCTCGCGTCTCCTCCCAGTCAAGGCCACTGAGGAGCCCAGGGGTGTGCCCCCACCCCCAGAGCCCACCAAAGCCAGCACCACCATCTGGGCGGTACCTGCAGGCGTGTCTGGTCCGCCAGGAGGAAGCAACGCCGCGCCTCCCCCAGCCTGCGCCTCTGCAGCCTCCACAGCGCCCTCTGTTCCCGGCGTGCCGCCTCGGCCGACAGCCGGCTGTAGTGCTCAACCAGCGCCTGCCTGGGCCCCGAGGACACGGTCATGGGCTTGTCCCACCAGGCCCACCACACTTGGGGTGCCACCAGGCCCACCACAGCTCGTTCCTCAGCCCCCACCACAGTGCAGGCCACAGTCCTGCAGCAGCAGCTGGTGCCTGGGTGGCGTGAGGACCCTGTCCCCCAAGGATTCAGGTTAGTCGGGTAGGGCCCTGGAGGCCAGGTCTCAGACCTCCCACAGACTCGGGCCCCCTGATGGCAGTCAGCTCGCGGCAGTGATCTCAGCCCACCCACAGCAGTGGCTCAACCTTGGCCATCTCACAGCGGTGGCCTCATGGGAGTGGCATCACTGCAGTGTCCTCAGCCCTTCCATGGCAGTGGGTTCTGCCAGTGGCAGCTTAAAGAGCCAGCACAGGTTTTGTTTGTTTGTGAAACGTGTCAGAGTACCGACTGCAGCGGTAACAGAACAGAACGTCCACCGTCCACACACTGCACGCACGCTGGAAAAAAACAATGGCAGCCCTCACTGTGGGACAGACGACCCCTCAGGGCCTGCTTTCAACAGAAAGTTACAAACGTACAAAGCAGCAAAGATACACAGTCCACACACAGGAAGAAAGGGATGTGACAAAACCACCCCTGAGGAAGCCCGGATGTCACAATTACTCATCAGACATTAAGTCAACTGCCTCAAACATGCAAAAAGATTTAAAGAAAACAATGCACAAAGATCTAAAGGCAAATAGGGGAAACGTGCATTAATAAAACGAGAGTATCAGTAAATAGATACAAATCATAAAAGGAAGACTACAGAAGAACTAATGCATCTGAACTGTGGTGCTGGTAGAGAATACTGAAAGTATCATGGACTGCCAGAAAGAACAGATCTGTCCTGGAAGAAGTGCAGCTGGAAAGCTTCTTGGAAGCAAGAGTGGCCAGACTTTGTCTCACCTACTGTGGTAATTTTGTCAGAAGGGACCATTCCCTGGAGAAGGATATCATGCTTGGTAAGGTGGAGGGTCAACAAAAAAGAGGAAAGCCCTCAACAAGATGGATGACACGGTGGCTGCAACGATGGGCTCACGCACAGCAAGGATTGTGAGGCTGGGGCAGGGCGGGGCAGTGGTTCGTTCTGTTGCACACGGGGTCGCTATGAGTTGGCACTGACTCCATGGCACCTGACAACAACCAATCATAAAAAGGAACTGGAGATGAATTCTGGAGCTCCAAAGTACAAAGGCAGAAATGGACACTTCACTCAAAGAGTCCAACAGCAGAGCGGGCAGAAGTGAAGACCAATGAACTTGAAGATAAGACCACTGGGTTACCAAGTCTGAGAATCAGAAAAAAGAAGGGAGAAGAATGAATGGACCTGGGAGACCTGTGGGCCATCATCAAACACACTAACATACTCATCATTGGTGTCCCAAGAAAAAAAAAAAAGATCATGGCCAGAAATTTCCCAAATCTGATGAAAGACACAAGCATATGGCCAAACAGCTCAGCACACTCCACGCAGGATAAATCCGGAGAGGTCAGCACCAAATACAGGGGATAAACTCATGAGATCCACGCCAAACACGCAGGATAGACTCAGAGAGCCATGTCGGACACGCGGGATAAACTCAGAGATACATGCCAAAACACGTAGGATACTCAGAGATCCATGCCAAACACGCAGGATAAACTCAGAGATCCACACCAAACACGCGGGATAAATTCAGAGAGATTGACACCAAACACGCAGGATAAACTCAGAGACCCACGCTGAACATGTGGGATAAACTCAGAGAGCCACGCCGAACATGTGGGATAAACTCGGATCTACCCCAGGGGGTTTAGTGTAACGGAGGATCCGCGTGACCCAGGACTGAATAACCAGAGCTCCATATAACCCAGGGTTCAGCGTAAGCCTGGGCTCAGCGTAATCAGAAGCTCCATATAACCTGGGGCTCGGCGTAACCCAGGGCTTGGCGTAACCGGAGCTCCACATAACCCGGGGCTTGGTGTACCACCGTTCTCTTTTGTGCTTGGGAAGTTGCAGAACAAAAAGTGAAAGAATAAAACAAAACCATCTCTAAATTGGAAGTGACAGGGAAGCCCACCCCTGGCCTCCCCTCTCAACACTTACACAGTATCCAGATGCAAGACCTACCTCTCCCTCCAAAGTGGCCTCACCCTTGCCCTCGGAGACCCCCATGTCACCTTCCCCCCGAATCAGCACCCATCTCACTCCACTGCAAAGTCCCTGCCCCCCTCACTCTGATGAAGCACCCGCCTTGTCCTTTGTTCCAGCTCTTCCTCCAAGGCCTGCAGCCGCTTCTCCCTCTCGCGGAGCTCGCGAGCATAGCTGAAGTCATCATCAGCCTCTTCCTGTCTGGCTGCCAGGCGTCGCTGCACAACACACAGCCCGTGAGACCCAGGTCCCAGGGACAGCACCCACCTCAGTCTGGGACCACACACCATTGGGCCTGCCTACCTCCTGGTCACGTACAAACTGCTCCTTCAGCTTCTGAAACTGCTCCCGTTTCCGGGCATCCACGGCTGCACGCTCGGACACCTGCTGGTCTGCAGGGCAAAGGCTCAGCATCACCTCGGAGGCCAACCTCAGCCATAGGGGGACGGCTCAGCATGCTTACCACTCAGGGCGCTCAGAACCCTGGCCGCTGCCTCGCGGGCATGGGCGATCAGCTCCTGTTTTGCGATCTCCACACGTAGTTCCTGAAAAACACATCACCAAACCCCACCTAGGACACCCTGCTGAATCAGAGTAGACAGTGCCCATGGGCACCCAAGGCCATTTCCTCCACAAAGAGCCCACTCACAGCCCCAAGAAGGGGTGGGAGGTGAGGAAGGGATAGGGGGTCCCTCCCAAGGACTGGGAAGGCAGTCCCCCTCCAGCCCCTGTTCACTCCCCCTTGGGCATGGGCTTCACTGGTCTGCTCCTGCTGTCCCGTCAGCCACAGGCACTCCTCAGAGCTTTCAATTGGCAACTCACCACCACACCCTGACCTGAACACCCAGTACGCGGCCAGTCCTGCCCAGCCCCACCTATCCTCCTGAGCATGAGGACAGCTTGCAGCGCCGCCTGCTTGGCTAGGACTTGGGGCCCCATTCACACTGACCACACCCAGGAAGCAGTGCCACACTTGGCCCTCACCTTCTCCTCCTTGCTGACGGAGCTGTAGCGTGCCACCCTCTCCATGCGCCCCACGTACACAGCACAGTCCTCCTCGATCTCTTTCAGCTCCTCAAGGGAGAAGCTCACCGAGATGCGAGGAACAGGTACGTCAGACCAGCACAGGTAATGCTGTGGGGAGAAGGGCCTCGTGAGCCCCGGGCAGATGGCTAGGGACTGGGGGACATGTGCTGCTGGAGATGCAGAGAGGGCAGGGCTTGTTCCTCAGAGCCCACTCCTGGCCAGGCGCCCCCAGATCTCTGTCCCGGCACTGCATGGCAGGAGGCTACCCACTCACCCTGAGCAGATGCAACGTGCACACCCTGACTAGAGAGGAGTGCACCACCCAGTGCTCACTGCAGCCTCAGTAAGAAGCTGTGGGACCATGTCGCCCTGGGCACACAGCTGGCAAACACTGTACCCCCTTTACTCTCCCATGCCTTAGTTCCACAGCTAGTGAGAGAGGACACACAAGCCCCCCCACATGCTACACACACACACTGACACAGACATGTAGAAAAACACATGCACGCATTCACATACACATGTGTACGAGAACTTACACATACGTGCTCATGCCCACTGATGCAACACATTTAACATCTATGCACTCAGGCACACACATGTAGACACAGGCATGTGCACGTGTGCATGGGTATGCATGTACACTCACATACACACAAATACACGCATGCTTTTGCAGTTGCATATACACACTCATGTACTCGTGTGCACGTGTGTGTACACGCTAGCACATACATGTTCACACGTACTTACGCTCATACATGCACACGAGCACTCTCAGGCACACATGTGTGCACATGCACTCATACACACAACCTTACACCTAGGCACGCACACATGTACATGTACTCACACTTACATGCACACAGATAACCTGCGATACACATGCACTCACACACATACTTACATGTGCACACATGGGTACACATTTATGCATACACACACACACACAGTCTCACACTCAGGCACACACGAGCACATGCACATGCACTCACAGACTTAGACCCAGGCACACACATGTGCACATGCACTCACATGCATACTTACAGACTAACATGCACATGCACTCATACACACACACTTACATGTAACAGACTTACACCCAGGCACACAAACGTGCACACATATTCTTATAGATGCACTTACAAACACTCAGGAACACACGTGCACATGCACTCACGCAATCTCACATTCAAGCACACATGTGCACGTGCACATGCACTCATACACATATACACAGACTTACACCCAGACACACAAGTGCACATACACGTGCACTCATACACACACAGACTTACACCCACACCCCCACACACGTGCACACACATTCTTACAGATGCACTTACAGACACACTCAGGAACACACAGGTATGTGCACATGCACTCACACGCACATTTATATACACAGAGGCTCACATGCGCACATACATTCACACACATTCAGGCACACATGCACAGGCACTCACACAGTTACATGCATGCAGACACATGCATGTGCACATGCACTCTTACATGCACACAGACTCACATACACACAGACGTACACTCAGGAACACACACATACGCATGCACTCACACATGCCCACTTATAGGCACACGTGCACATATACTCACACTTATACACAGACTCACTGGCACACATACATGCATGTGCATGTGGATTCTTACACACAGACACTTACATGCACAAGGACTCACAGGCACATGCGTGTGCACATGCTCTCTTACACACTGTGGTAGTTAAGGTTGTCGTCAACTTGGCTGGGCCTGGTTGAGTGGCTGGGCAGCTGGATGTAGTTATTCCCCATGGTGAGATTGGTAATTAACTCCAGAGTGGAATTTACTGGAGTGGCTGAACAGCTGCTTTAGGGATGTGGGCTGCTTCCAGTATGTAAGAAGCAACTTTGAGGAAGGTCTCTAGCTTTTTGGCATGTCTGAACCCTGCATGTAGTTGTGTCGTTGTTCAGCAGCCTGCCATGCCCTGCCGATCTTGGGACTTTTTCTGGACTTGAATTAATGGCCTGGTTTGGTGATATCAGGACCGTGCCTTTTCACTTCTCAACCTTGGGCTTCTCAGCCCCAGCAGCCTGCAGCTGCCTGAGTGAAGAGATGCCTCTAGCTTCAGTGGGCTGGGAGCAAGAGGCAGCACTGAAGCCCAAGGTCAGGGGGCTTTCACCCAGTCCCTAGAGTCTAGCACTTTGAACTTGGACTTCTAGCCTCCAAAACTGTAAGAGAATAAATTCTTATTTGTTAAGCCATCTTATTTGTGGTATATTCCTATCAAAGCAGCTCTAGGTAACCAAACCACACACATGCACACTTATACACAGACCCACGGGTACACATGCACAGGCATTCACACACACACACAAACTTAACACTCAGGAACACATACGTGCACATGCACTCACATGCACACTTACAGACTCACAAGCGCACACATGTGTGTACATGTGCACTTACATGCACACGTGCACATGTGCACATGTACACACACACACACACACTAGAACACACGCTAACAGGCAATGCCTGCCTCACCCGGGGGCAGCAGAGTTTCAGCAGGTTGATGGTCTTCCCACAGACGTACACGTCATTGGCAATGTGCTTCAAGAACACGGGGACACAGTCCTCCACCTCCTCAGAAATCAGCACATAGCCATGGGTCCAGTAAAACTTGTCTGGCATGGGACAAACGGGTGGCACACATCAGAGGGGCTCACAGGTGTAGGACCCCCCCAGTCACCACTGCCCACCTACCTCTGCAGCCGAGGTAGTCCTCATTCACCTGGATCATGAACTCGCCATAGGCATCTCGGAAGACCCCACTGTACACCCAGTCGTGGATGAACCTGCAGGAAGCACCTGGGCTGCATGCCTCTGCCTATCCCGCCTTCCCTCCTGTCTGTACATAGCACCGTTCCTGACCCCTCTCAAACATCTGACTACACAAGTCAACGAGAGATTGGCTGCAGGCTCTGGCCTCCCTCATCCTCAGTGATTCTCAAGCTCACGTCACCTTATCCATAGAGTTCTCTCTACAAAAGCAGCCAGAAGCCTGCCAACTTCCAAATGGAAACACAGACAACGTGAGTGTGTCACAGTGACCTCAGGACCCAATGGCTACAGACCACTGCCCCAGGACTGGCATTACTGGTCAGGGGAGGACATACGAGAGCCTGGGGCAGCTCCAGGGGTGCAGAGCACCATATCCCAGGATTGCTCCCCGGAGAGCAGCCTACTGGAGGTTAGTCATGTGTGGAGAACCCCCACCTTGCTAACACGGGCATGGAAGCTGGGCCCTCTTCCTCTGCTTAGAGCTTCACAGCCTCGCAGACTGAGTCTGCATCTTCCCAGGAGGCTGGACCGCCCCACAGGCCCCAATAAGCCCCACCCACAGTCCCACCCGGCTCCACATCTGTGGGCCCTAGCCTCACCTTGTGTAGGGCTCGCAGCTGGTCTTGAGCAGGGACAGCAGGACGGGGTAGTGCTCATTGCTACAGTTGTCCAGGGCCTCCTGATACAGGTAGGAGAGCAGCTTCACGCCCTGCAGACGCCAGTGCCAACAGGCAGAGTACGTGGTGACACAAGCCCCTCACCTGGAGCTCAACGCAGGGAACCACCCACTCCACAGGGGCAGACTCACAGTCGGGAACACAGCCTTGGACCCTCCACCACCACTGGTCCCTGGGAGTCCGGTGCCAACACCACAGAGTTCAGCCAGGTACCTGGACCCAAATGGCCAGGTCAAGCCACTGAGCAGACTCCCAGGGTTCCCCTGGCTTGAGCTGCCTCAGCCGTCCACCTGCCACTGCTCCAACCCCGGGGCAGCACCTCCCCTTCCATGCACCAAGTCCAAGACCCCACACCCCCAGTGGAGCCTCTCCACCTTCCAGACCGGCCATCAGGGCCCACCTGAGCTGTCGGCCCAGCTTCTTGAAGAGGAAGCTGATGGTCAGCAGGCTGAGGGTGGGCGGGGTGGAGAGCACACAGGCCCGGTAGTACTGCAGGTACCGTCTCACGCCACTGGTGAAGGCCTGTGGACAAGGGTCTGAGAGGAAGCCGACCCCTGCCCAGCCAGGGGGGCAGGGACTGGGCTTTGCGGCCAGCTCTGGGGTTTCATTCTCCAAGATCAGCTCCAGAGGCCCCACCCTCTGGCAGGAGGCCTCAGGCATCCTAACTGTCAGAGAGGGCCAGTCCCTGGGGATGTTGGCACTCAGGGTAGTTCTAGGATGGTCAGACTCTGCTGACAGGTCCTAGACAGTGAGGCCCTTCAGGATCAAGACCACCAACCACCCATCACCCAGCTGATCACGTCCAGTCCAGTCCCCCTTGGGCACAGCCACAGCCAAGCCCCATTCTCCTTGAGACTCCCTCTCATGCACCCCCTCTCCTCCAAGGGCTGGAAGGGCCACAGCAGCCCAGTACCCAGTGTCCTGGGGGTTAGCACACCTCCCCCATGCTCACCTGTCCTGTAGCTCTGCCCAGTGTGCAGCAACAGTGGGTCTGGTGGTGGCAGGCACCCTGGAGGACAGGACCCCTGGGCCAGGCTCCCAACCCCACATACCAGGAAGAGCAGTGTGCTCAAGGGAAGGCCCACCCTGGGCCTCACTCATGAAGCCTACGACCCACCCACTCACATGCTCACCTACCACAGGTGGGGAGCCTGCTGCTCACCTGCTCACACACTCACCCACCCACCCACACTTGGTCCCACCCTGTGCCTCCAAAGGTGCAGCTCCCCTTCCCACTGCCTGGGCCCCAGTGACACAGCATGGAGGACACACGTCAGCTGCCCAACCTTAAGAGGCAGCTTCCTGCCCTGGATGTGCTAAGGACACAGAGTGTCTGCACTTGGGTCCTTGGTGGCTTCTGGAGTCCCAATGGGGGCAAGGAGCGTACCTGGAACACAAGGCCTTTGCTGCACGTGGCGTCCAGCACCGGCTGCAGAGAGAAGCGGCTGAGGCGCACATAGTAGGTCCCACACACAGCCACCTCTGACAGGAGGCCACGCATGCTCTCTGGGGAGGTCCCGGACACATACACTCCTGGCTTCACCACGAAGGCTTGGGCTGGCTGTGGGAGGGAGGGCGAGAGTCAGAGCAGCTCAGACCCAATGCACAGACAGCACACAAAAAGTAGACAGATGCCAGATGTCATGTAAGCGGGCACAAAGTGGTCATCACGGTCCACACTGGAAGAGATGTAAGTTTAAAGCACCACACCAGCTGAGAAAGGGGCATGGCAGGGTGAAGAGATGCCAGCCCAGGGGCATGGATGGACAGTCTGAGGGCAAAGATGAGAGGGTGCATGGACCGACAGCCCAGGGGTATGAATGGGAGTGGGGGAGGGTATAGGGCCAGACAGCCCGGGGGGGCTTGGACAGACAGGAAGCGAGGAGGGGCAGCCCTTGGGTACAGGGCAAATGTTAACATGAGCTGGCAGGCCTGCAGTTGACGTTCTGAAAAACAATGGAAGATGCAGAGAAAGAGAGCAAGGCCACTCGCCCCACAGGGCCACTTACACCCATGGAGACAGACACAACCTGGGAGGGCTAATGACACTCCCAAGAGCCCCCAGGACAGGCGCCATACCAGGTTTGGAACTGCACAAGGTGTGCCTGGTGTGACCAGCACACACTCAGCCTGGGAACAGCCAGGCTGAAGGACCCGAGACCCCAGGGGGTTGCATATCAGAGCAGTGGGTAATGCAGTCAAGCCTCCAAGCACAGCCCCTCATCCACTGGGACCCAGGAGGGGTAAGCCTGGTCCCTGATGACGAGCTGGGGCATAGGACGGCAGTTCTGAGATGGAGCAGGACTGGCTGGTGGCCTGTCCTCCACAACAACACTGACAGCCACACACATCTTGCTACGTTTTTAAAGGTTAACAAATCCATACCTTCCAACACCTAGATAACATGACCCTGGCAGACCCCAGGTGGCCCCCAGGCCGGTAGAGCGAGTCCTCCTGGGCAGTGAGACAGGCAAACCCCTGTGGAGGGCTCGCTGCAGGGCCCAGCCTTACCTGACAGAGGGAGAATGTGGCCGATGCAACTCCAATGAGCACATTCAGCGTGTCCTTCACCAGCTCACACTCCTGCACCAGGATGTGCTGCAGGGCCGGGAGCAGGCTGCCACCAAGCACCTGCAGTCCCCCCTCGCAGAGTCTGCAGAACTTGTCAAAAGCCTCTCTCCCAGCTTCTGTGAGGTAGGGCTCCTCTCTGTGGCCAGGGGGGCTGCAGGGAGATGAGGAGGGGTGATGAGCAAATAGACAGGTACCTCAGCTCCACACACGGTCTCATGGGGGACACACCCCAGACACAGCACTCGTCAGGAGAAACACTGGTCAGTGAGGAACCCAAACCAGCCGCAGAGCCTCCAGCCCCCCACAGGACCAACTCCCAGCTTTACTCTGACCCCCTGAAAGTGGAAGGGACAACCCAGCCCAGCCCAGGAAAGTGACCCGGGGGAGCACCAGTGTCCTCAAGATGACAACACACCACATCATCATCACTGTGGTGAGAAGGCACACAAGGACACCTCAGCCCCACAAGGACAGCTGTGGTCAGAAATGGAGAACAAGTGTTGGCAAGGTTGGTGGGCACTCAGAACCCTCTTCCGGTGCTGGTGGGAGTATAAATGCTGCAGCTACTGTGCAGAACCGTTTGGCAGTTCCTCAAAGAGTTGAACATACGACCTAGCGATTCTAACCCTAGGTGTGTATCCAGAAGAAACGAAGGCAGGAACACAAACAGGAACCTGTGCACCAAGGGTTACTGCAGCACTCTGCCCTACAGCCAAAAGGTGGGAACAGAACGGACCACCGCAGATGCTTGGACACACAATACGGGGCCCATGCACACAATGAGACAGCGCCCAGCCACACAGAGAAATGATGCCCAGACATACAACATGGGGTCCATACACACAATAGAACAGGACGCGGCTACACAGAGAAATGAGGCCTGGACACACAACACGGGGTCCATACACACTATGGGATAGGACGCAGCCTGCAGAGAAATGGTGCCTGGACACACAACTCGGGGTCCATACAGTGAGACAGTACTCAGCCACACAGGCCACAACCAGAGAGAAAGGCAAAACGGGATGGCCAGGCAGCCCTTCTACCCTACACTGGGGACACCACAACCTGTCACCCTCTGTGGCTCTAACAGGAATCAGGAAGTGAGCCACTGCTGACCAAGTCACTGAAGAATGAGATCTGCAGAAGTTACTGGAGCCCCTGGAGGTGCCAATGGTGAACGCACCCGGCTGCTAACCAAAAAGTCAAAGGATTGAGCCTGCCCAGAGGCACCACAAAACAAAGACCTGGAGACTTACTTCTGACAATCAGCCACTGACGACCCCAGAGCGGTCTACTCTCACACACACAGGGTCACTGCAAGTGGACGCGACAGGCTGGCACTTGTCCAACACGAACCTCCTCAAAGCCTGAAACCATTCTCCTTCAATCTCTTTTCAACTCCCAGAATCCAAACACAGTCCTGGAAGTTAGCTTGACTCGCATTTCAAGGTGTCTAACCCCATCACAGCTGCTCCTAAAAGCCACCCCCAGGCCCACCAAGAAACAATGCAGCAGACCCCAGAGAGAGGCTCACACACCACCCGATTCTCTCCCAGCACCGCCTCTTGCTGGCCTCGTAAGTGAGCACGGCCTCCCACACATCCAGGTCCGGGGTCACACTTGGTTCAGACTGGGAGTCTGGAGTCAAATTAGACGCCGACTGGAACCCTTCATCTTCCGACTGGTCCATGCTCTGAGGAACCTGGAGACCACAGGAAAGAAGGACGTGCCACTGAGCGATCAGGCGCCCAGGAGTCCGTCTGCACATTTCCACTTCCTCCTCTGGGGAAGTCCTCCCTTGTGGATGCGCCTAATATCCCCCTCAGACACGACAACTCCACGATGTGTTCCCACAGGATCACTGAGGGAGCAAAACAAAACAATTCATCAAGGCTACTGACTCCCAAGTTCACATAACACGTAGGCCCAGTATAACTTACAAAATCCAGAATATAGACTACAGAAACTCCCAAGTTACACAACTTATGAAATTCTCCGGGCCTGGAAATGCCATTCTGGGGGCTCTAGCACAAGAAAATCATGGTAAACAAAAAAAAATGTATGTGCACCAAGATGTTCACTGTGGAGTTATTTATGCTGGGAGCCTAGAGCCCAGTAACGCTGGAATGCCTGGGAGCCTGTGCTCACTGAGCACCTTGCACAGACCCCACAGAAAGGCTGGGCTGATTCACTTTATAATGCTGAGAAACTTCACACTGTAGGCGGAAGTCTACATAAGTGCAGCTCCAGCTCGCGCAAGTTTTTCTGCCACACGCGGCTACCAAGCACTTGAAATGTGGCTATGCGACTGAGGAACCGACTTTTTTATTTAATTCACATTTAGGAGCTCTGGTGGTACTGTGCTTAAGGCACTGGGCTGCCAACCAGAAGGTTGGTGGATCAGACCCACCAGCCACACTCTTTGGGAGAAAGACTAGGCAATCTGCTTCTGTAAAGATTTACAGCTTTGGAAACCCTGTGGGGGTCTCTATAAGCCGGAATTGACTCAATGGCAGTGTGTATGGTTTTGGTGGGTGGTGCAGTGGTTAAAGTAATCAGTTGCTAACCAAACGGTCAATGGTTCATATCCACCAGCCACTCTGAGGCAGAAAGATGAGGCAGCATGGTCTGTAAAGATTACCACCTCAGAAACCCTATGGGGCAGTTGGATTCTGTCCTCCAGGGGTGCTGTGAGTTGGAATTGACTCGATGGCAGTCAGTTTTTTTTTGTTTGTTTTTTTTTCCATTTAAACTTACGTAGCAGCTCTAGAGGGCAGAACAATTGACTAAGCAACATGGGCTGTCTGATAGAGGATTACAGACAGCACGCTGCTGTGTGCTGAGGGTGTGCACCAGCAGCCATACTTCATAACCGCTCGGGCCACCTAGAGACCTGGGCCTCAGCCATCCCACCTTTAGCACCACACAAGGCACACTCAGGAGCTGAAGGCAGGAAAGCAGATACCCTACTTTAATGGCAAGTCCGGACAGGTCCACGCTGTCTGGCACCGGGGGCAGATCCAGTCGGATGTCCATGTCGAATGTGCGGCTATGCACAAGGGCACCAAAGAGGGAGGTCCGGGTGTCTCTCTCAAACTTGTCACAAGAGTCACCCAATGAGAAGCGCCCAAAGGTGGGTAGGCCGGTGCCCGGCGGGGCCTCCATCATCTGCAGCGTCTTCTGAGCCATGTCCCGGCACAAATACTCCTCTCTGCAGATCAGGGACTCAGCGTCCATCTCCAGCGCCCTCAAGTCACAACAGTCGTAGCCCCGGTAGGGAACGTTTCTCCCCACGTACTTGTTGTCTAGGAAATAGTCCCGTTTCCGGGGCAGCTCTCGAGGGGGACCCGTCCCCGCCAGCTGAACCAGGAGGTCCAACACCGAGGCCACTTCCCCAAGCGGACAGGAAGGGGCTGCCTGCAGCTGGTCCACAAGGTCCTCCAAGCGGTCGGCGTCCGGGCCCAGGCCGCCCACCCGCAAGTTAAATGACAGCATAAGGATCTTGTTTTTCACCGGCAGCTTGGAGAGCTCAGGCTGCAGCTTCGGCGTCTCCTCTTGAAAGAGACTTGGGAAAAGCATGTTGTAGGCCACCTTCTTGAGGCACTGCTTGGCCCGCCTCCGGTCCAGGCCACGCCGGGCCGGGAGAGCTCCGGCGGCCGGTAGGTGGGCCTCGCAAAGGTCATCCAGCAGCTGGGTGATGCTGGCCATGCCGGCCCCTCCTCAGCTCCGGGCCCTCAGAGTGCGCGCAGACGTCCCAGCCGGGCGGCCACCGGCCTCTGCGAGACCGAGAGCTGCGCCGAGGCCCCGAGGCGCGGAGCTCGCCCCGCGGGGAAGCAGACGCCGACAGTTCCTGACCTTCAGGCGGTCGCACAACCTTGACAAACTCGAAGAACGACACGTGCGTGGGCAGGACACAGCGCACGGACTCGGTTTTCCCTGCGTTCTCCGGGGCCCCGCACCGGAGCCAGAATCCCCCGAGTGGATGCTGCCGGTGCCCCGCAGGCCAGGGAGGGAGTCTGAGGACGGAGAACCCACACAGGGTCGCCGCCTCAGGCCTCTCGAGCAGGTGCTCCCAGCGTTCCCGCTCTGGCGGCCGTGCGCGTCATTGCCACGCGACCGGCGAGACCCCGGGACAAGAGGCGCAGAAAATATGCTCAGAGGGGGCGGGACCGTGGAGGCTCCCTTGGCCGTGGCCCCGCCTCTGCTACGCGCACTTCCGGTTGGGGCTGCGTTCCGGTAAATGAGGAAATTGAGGCCTGCGATAGGCCCAACGAAGGAGGCGGAGTCAGGCTTTCGTTAAACGACGTTTATTGATTGGCGGGAGAGGGGAGGAGAGCGTAGGGAAGTTAGCAGGGCCGTTGATGGCGCGGTAGCCGCCGAGGGCGGGGTGCCCATGACCAGGCAACCCCTAGCTCTGGATGGCTGGTTTGTAGTGTTAGCTCCCTGACGGAAATCCTTTGCCCCCGGCCGATTTCAAGCTTCCAGGTGAGGTCACTGAAAGGGCCGTTGGAGAGAGAGATGCTCACGATGTCACTGGTGTGCGCTGGTTCAAGCAGCACCCACCCAGGACCGCCAGGAGCTCGCCTCCACGCCGAGCCGGGCAAGGCCAACCCCTCACCCGCCACCTGCAGCATCCTCCACTCTGATTCCAGCTGCCCTCTTAGGTACTTCAGCGCCTCCAAGTCCTCAGCCGAGGCCCTAGAGCAGGGGCCCAGGCTGGGGGGTGCCTCTCCATGCAATGCACGGGCCAGGGCACCTGCAAGGTGGGGTCTGGATTCCTGCGCCAGGCGATGGGGGAGGCATGAGTCACTTTCTTATGGACGCCCACCCCATAGCCTATCCTGCCTTGCATGGCTTACCTGCACCAGGGCTAGGACTCGGCCCCCTGCTGGACCCCGGAGCATTGAGGCCAGTAGTGCAGCGTGGGTATCCTGCAGGCTGTGGGACGGCCCCAGCACCACCAGCACCAGGTCAGGCTGGAAGCCATAGGCCAGGGGCAGCACCAGGCCCAAGATGCAGCTCAGGAGCCCCCCAGTCTCCTGTGAGAGGGGCAGCAGCATGGCACCAGTCCCGCACCCCAGATGACACCCCACCTCCCAATCTCAGTGTTCCAGAGTGTGCCAGCCACACTGGCAGTCCCTTGAGGCATGGAGGATGGGCCTGGTCCCTGTCTCAATGCCAGTGGGCTGAGCTGCACACACAGGATGCCCCATGTCTGCTCCAGCCCAGGAACACTGCCACTCACCCTTGGCAGTGGCACGGAGATGCAGAACATGGACAGGGCTGCTGCCTCCTGGCCTCCAATGTTCAGCCACAGAATCCTCCTTCCAGAGGAGGGGAGCACAAGTGAGAACCTGGTCACCCTCCAGAGCACCGCAGGGCAGAGATGGCAGGGACACAGCTGCTAGAGGCCTAGCCTGGCCTTGTTCCTGGGTCCTCTGCCAAAAGCCAGCTGTGGCAGGCCCCCCTCTGTGACTCACAGTGCCCCACTCACCTGTCACTCCTGGGGACCTGGTGGCCCACTTGCCACAAGCCCACCCACACGCATAGCAGGATATATGAGTGACCTGGAAGTCATACCCATCATCAGTGAAGTCTGGGGGCCGGTCTAGCTGTCCCAAAGCCACACAAAACAGCCTGGAGAAAAAGCCAGTGGGGACCGGCTGTGCTCAGGTCCGTAGAGTCCAGCTCACAGTAACCCACAGCCCTGTCCTCACAGGCTCCACCCACAGCCCTGCTCTCAGAAGCTCTTCCAACCCAGGGACTCACTTCTGGGTTCCAAGGTACAGGCCGCGGCGGATGACCACATCCAAGGTGGCAGCAACAGCAAGGGTGGGTATGGCCGCAATGCCACTGCTCACCTAGGGAACAGATGACAACAGAGGATAGTCAGGAAGCAGCCCACTCCCAAACCAGATCAACAGACCCCTTGCTCCTTCGTAGCACCTGTCCACGTGACCGGCACACGCCCACCTCGACACACTGAGTCAAACCACTCCCTTTCTGCAAACTGTGCTGAAAACACTGCATCGTCCCCACTTCTCTGCCAAGAGCTTGTAAGGGAGTCAGGGAGAACACTAACCCTGGGATGGTCTGCGGCCCAGCCCCCGAGCTGTGGCCCACTGTCCACCCTGGGGGCAGGCTCCACCTACCCTACCCAGATGCACGCACCTGCCCACCCAAGATCTTGTCTACAAGGTTCAGAACCTTCCCGAGCGCAGTGAGGGCCTCGTCCTGGGCCAGGGCCTCATGGGGTCTGTGGTGGCAAACCAGAGGGACACACGGATGTGAGTGACACACAGATAGTCATAAACCACATGCAGGTCAGGCACAGGTACAGCCACCAACATGGCCCGCCCCCTTCCCGGGCCCACCCTGCCCACCTGGCCCAGGCCTTGGTCTCCTCCCTCAGGGCTGACCCCTCCTGATGGAGGACTCCAAGAGGCAGGGCAGGGGTAGCATCCATTGAGGTTAGGGCAATGGCTGTGCGGACGGGGGGCAGGGGATGAAGGCGCAGCCTGTCCAGGAGGGAGCTCAGCGCTACAGCTGCTTGGGCCGCTGCTTCTATGGCTGCCTCCTCATATGCGGAAGTCCCGGGGGGCGGTGGTGGAGGCCTCCCCTCTGGAGAGCAGGCACTGGGGTTTGGTTCAAGGGCTGTGTCTTTTGGCGGTTCAGAGTCATGCTGTCGCTCATGCCCACTGCAGGAGCTCCAGAGCCCAGCACCATGACCACAATGACCCTGGTCCTGGAGGCTTGTCCAGTGAGGGGCCTGGGCCGCCCGGACATGCTGGATGGACTCCAGGGCGCTGCAGGGAGAGCTGGGCAGTGAGGCAGATGCTTGGCCTGGACCCCCTCCCACGGGCACCATGCCCTAGCTGCCTCTCTCTCCAGGGCCAACCCCCTCCCCACCACCTCCTCTCCTTCCGGCCCTGTCTCAGGGTTCCTCTACCTCTGGCCACCCCACCTCCTCTCTTCCTCTAGTTCCCCCTCCCTCCAGGCCCCTCCCCACACCCCTCAAGCCCCCTGCTTCTACCACCCTCCCAACCCCCCCCAGGCACATCTCTCTCCAGCCCCATCCTTACCCCCACCCTTCACCCCTCGCACCTCCAACAGGGCACCATGATCCCCGACAGAGGTGGGGCAGGGTCTCCCAGCAGCGCCTGCACTGTCATGCATGCTGACTCTGCAAGCGATTCGAGGTGGTAGCCTCCCTGTGAGGACGGGAGAGGCGTGCGAAGCAAAGGCATGGGGGAGGGCGTTGATGAGAACGGCCCCCTGCTCTGTGGCTCCCTGTCCCAGCCATGTCCTCCCCCAGGGCAGGCTGCTCTGACCCCACCTGGAGGGCTCCATCCCCCGGCCCAGGATCCCCCCAGCCCACCCTGGGGCCCGGCCTGCTCAGCTGCAGTCACCTCCAGCACAGCACAGACCCGGCCACCAGCCAGGGCCAGCAGCAGCTGAGTGAGATGGGCAAAGCACTCTGGTGTGGCCTGCATATGCCCCTGGAACAAAGCAGGAACATAAGGGGCGTGGTCCCAGGACCCCGGAGGCCTCCCACCAGGCCAGACTCTTACCTCAGGGTCCCCGATGGCTGAGTCAAAGCCAGCGGAGACCAGCACCAACTCGGGGTCAAACTGCAGGCAGGGTGGAGTCCAAACAAGGTAGAGAGAGCTGGAGCCAAGGGGGGAGCCGCCTAGCTCGCAGTCTTCTGTCCCCTCCAAAGCGAGCCTCGTCACCCACCCCCATGGTCAGTGCAGACACCGAGGCAAGTGGCCGTGGCCCTGTTTCTGGGGCAGACGACCCCCATCTTCACCATGGAACTTCCACCCCAAGTCCCCTCCCAGCCCTCTTACCACCCACTGCCACCCTGTCCCCACACAGTCACCTCGAAGGCCAAAGGGAGCAGCACATGCAGAAAAGCTGCCATATAGTCAGCGTTTCCCATCCCCACCTGCAACCATGGAGAGTCAGCACCGGTCACTGCCCGCCAACCTCAGGGCCCTCACCCCCGGGGTCCTGGCTCTGGGGTAAGCTGGGCAGGAAGCCCCAGCTTGTGCTCAGGGGGCCCAGACCAAGGGCTAGGAGGTGCCAGTGGGGGCCTGGGGACAAGGTGGCACCTGGTTCCAAGGCACGTTGACCGTGAAGCCGCGGCCACGGCCATGGCCAACCACATCGGCATCTGACTCTCGAAGGAAAGGCCAGAAGTGCCCATGCTCGTAGCGGTGCCAGGAGAAGTAGAGGACGCTGTGGACAGCCAGCTGAGGTCAGAGACTAGGGAGGTCAGCTCCCCCAGAACCTCCACTCTGCTGGCAGATGCTGATCACATGGCCACGTGCCCCTCTCAGATTTTCCCAAGCCAGGCTGTGCCCTCCCCAGAGCGGGATCCCAGGGAGGGGTCATGACCCCCACACACACTCACCTGGGGTCATCCTCAAAGATGTACTGGGTGCCCTGGCCGTGGTGGATGTCCCAGTCAACGATGAGGATTCTAGGAGCAGAGGTGTGGTGACTGAAGATGGAGCTTCTGTCCAGGCCAGGAGCCCAGCAGGGCTGGGAAGGGGCTGGGTGGAGTGTCTTCCCCACCCCTGCACCTGTACACACCTGTGCAGCCCGTGGTTTTGCTTGGCGTGTTCAGCTGCTATAGCCACATTGTTGAATACACAGAACCCATTGGCGGCTGCACGCTGGCTGTGGTGGCCGGGAGGCCTGGGGGTAGGGGGCACTCGGTCATCCTGGCCCCAATTAGGTGGGCAGCAGGCAGAGGGATGCAGCCCTCACCTCACGAGAGCGAGCCCATTGTGCGCGGCCCCGGTCAACACAGCGTCCACCAACTTCAGCGCAGCCCCCACAGCCAGCCGAGCACAGCGAAAGGTGCTCTGTGGGAGCAGGGGTGCTGCATGAGCCCCCCCACCTGCCCTCACGCCCCACACCAGCCCTGCCCATGCCTGTGCCAGACAAAGGTATCACGCAGGGTGTGCAGGGCGTTTGGGCAAGCAGGAGCTGAGGGGGCATGGGCTGGGGCTGGCAGCCAGGGTATGGATGCTGGTGGGCTGATGTGTCTGGGTGGGTGAGGGAGTGCACTGAGGGACACACACCGGGTGGAAGTAGACGGCGTCGTACTGGGCCGACAGCGCCTGAAGCTCTTCTGTGCCCAGGACCTGGGTGCCCCGTACCACAGCCACGTACTCTGGGCTGCAGAGGGGCAAGAGGGCTAGGCAGGGTCACGGCTGGGGTAGGGAGGAGCAGGTGGAGTGGGGGAGCTCCTGGAGGAACGCCCGTCTCCTTTGTCCTTGTGGGCAGCCCCCCTGGCCACTCAACTGCCGTCCCCACCACCCACTGTCCCTACCAGGGAACCAAGGCGGCGGGGAAGAGGCCAGTGTGATGCGGGCGCCCACCGTCCTGGGGCGCAGGCTCACCCCCTCTGGGGTCTGACCTGTGAACCAGGCCCAGCTCCGCCTCCGAGGCCTCGCGCGCCGCCAGCCGCAGGCACCTCTGCTCCAGACCGTGCTGCTGCAGGCGCTCCAGGGCGACGGTCACCCGCTCAGGACATTCGATCTCGCACTCGGGGCTGTTGGGGGACAGTTCAGTGTCCAGAGCCCCTCCGCCCCCCACCTGCCCCTCAGATCACACTTACTCGTCCCAGAGGAGCCGAGCGACCGTCATGTCCTCGTGGTACACGAGCGCGGTCCCCATGGTCGACTGTGGTCACGTCGAGCCGCCCAGGGCGGGACAGAATCCAAACGCCCTCCGCCCCGCAGGCGACCGCCCCGCGTGTTCCCAGCTGCAGCTCCGGGAGAGCGCAACGTCTGAGACCCGCAGGCGACACGGCCCGGACGGCAGGCACACAGAACCCAGATCGCGGAACGAGGTCCCAGGCGCGCACACGCCACCGCCACTGCCACGGACCGGGCCACAAAGCAGACGCCAAAACGCAGCCTTGACCAGCGCGGTTGTCTCCCAGGGCCGGGCTTCCGGTTTCCCACAACTCGGACCCGGGTCCGGCCCGGCCCCAGGGAAGGCCTGGTCTGTCCTCAGCCCCGCCCCGCCATCCGAGGACGCGTCCCGCCCCTGTCTCCGCCCCCGCCCGGTTTCTCCTCTTGCTCCGCCCCCGCCCGCCTGGTCCCTCCCCTGGCTCCGCCCCGCCCTGGCTCCGCCCCGCCCTGGCTCCGCCCCGCCCTGGCTCCGCCCCGCCCTGGCTCCGCCCCGTCCCTCCCCCACTAGGTTCCAGCAGCGGTTCTCCCACCTCCATGGATATGGGGCCTGGGCGGGTCACTGCCTCTGGGTACCCCTACGAGATGGAGGGGTGGCGGGCGTGAGGACTGGGGGGACAGTGCCCCCCTCCCGCGGAGCTCTGTGTGCCCCAGAGCAGAGATGTCTCCCCACTGCCTTGGCCCCCGCGCTCTCCGGCCCCCCACACTCGGCTGAGTCCGCTCTGTGGTCACCAGGTCCGGCGGGTCAGTAGCCCGAGTGCGGCCCCAGTGGCCCACCCAGCCAGGACTCGGGGGGGGGAAGGCATGCGACTTCGGGGACCGCAGAGCCCGCGGGGCTCAGGGACGGCCGCGCTGCGCAGAGGGAAGACCCCCCACACACACACTGGGGGCCAGGGGTCGTGCCGAGCTGGGCCTGGTGCAGGCAAGCCGAACACGGAGCACTAGAAATGAATGAAGGGGAACAGCAAGGGATGAGGACCCGGCCTAGCGACGGAGCAGGAGCAGAGAGGACAGAGAAAGGAAGGAAGCCCTAACGCCAGGCACGCAGCACCCGCTAGGGACGGTGCTCTAGGGAAGATGGGGGGGCGGGGCCCCGGAAGCTGGGCGATGGGCGTGGTGCCCGGGGATGGAGCCTGGGGTGGTTTCGGGGGCGGGGCGTGGTCTTTGTGGGTTTCTGGAGGCGGAGGTCTTGAGATCCCGTTTCTGAGGACGGAACCATGAGACAGGACTCCGGGAGTGCGTCTCTGGAGGTGGGGCCCCGGGAGCCCGTCTCTAGGAGCCAGGGTCCCGAGAGCGCGTCTAGGGACCGAAATGCGGAGACTGCGTCCCTGGGGGCGGGGCCCGGAGGCGGGGATCTCGGGGCGGAATGGACCGCCCACCCCCTGGGTGGGCTGACCCTTGGATGGCCCTCGAGCCCCTCGCTTGAGTCAGGTGTCCGCTCCGGAGCCAATCACAGCGGTGAGGGAATGGGCGCCCTCTAGCTCCAGCTGTGCGGGAGGAGCGGGGTCGCTCCCCGAGGCGCGAGGGCTCGAGTCCTCTTCAGCACCTTGTCTGTCGGGCCAAGCTCCCGGCCGGGAAAGGATGGGGTACCCGTGACTGCCCTTCCCCTCAGCGGTTTTCCCCGCTGTCACCCAGCATCTCGGTGGACGCACCTGCTCCTGCTGACAGATGGGAAGGCGCCAGGCCGGCGGGAGGGACCTACGTGTGCGCGCTAGTCCCGCCGGGTGGCCGGCAGAGGGCAGCAGCAGCTCACGGTGCACCGGGTTGGGCGGAGAGAGGGGTTGGAGGTTTTGTAGAAAGGAGCCCACCTAGCCCAGAGGGCCTTCAGCTGTCTAGCGTGTCCCCCTCCCTCCCCAGGAACTCTGGCCTTTTAGGGTGCAGGGGACTCTCAGTGGGGACGGAGCCTCAGGGACCACACTATGGCTGGGACCCTAAGCCATTAAAGGAGGTCCTCCCACAAAAGGGGCCAAGTCCCTGGGGGCTCCACACGCAGTTTCACTGGCCTAGGGCGGGGGAGGTGGACACCAACTTCCTGGGGGGTATGCTCAGGATCCCCACCCGCCCGTGGCTCAGGACGACTGGCAGGCAGACAATAGGACCCAAGCTCTTAAGGACTAACCTCATCTGTGTGTGTGTGGAGTGGGGGAACATACTCAGAGACAAAGACAGAGTGGAAGATCTATGAAAGGGTTTATTTCAGCCTCGTGGGTGCAGGCCACATGGCCAGTTACATTCAAGGCTGGGGGGCACAGAGCCCCTCCAGAGAGATGGTATCCCTGAGTTGGTGCCTGCGCCCTCCCCGGGTCCCCTCCTATCAGCAATAAGGGCTGGGCCTCGGGCACATGGTACAGAGCCAGCAGGGCTGACCCAAGCCCAGACTGGTCCCAGGGAGGGGGCCGCTGCTCCAGGGGGGTCAGAGGCCACCGCCAGCCAGCAGGGAGTCCTTGCAGCAAGTCCAGATGATCCTGTGAGGTCAGGCTGAAGGCGAGGGGGGACAGAACAGGCCTGGGGAAAAAAGGGAAATCTGTGCAATGTGGGGTCTATTCTGAGCCACTCCAGATGAAAGCCTAAGCTGCAGAGCCCCCAGCCAGGGTTGCCATGGCGTGCCCACCTCTGTCCCAGGCCCAGAGGTCTTCAGAGAGCTGTCTCCTTGGACGCCCTGGACCCCAGCTGCCGGGGAGGCTTGAAGCTGAGCACCTCTTTATAGGTGATGCCTGGGGAGGGGCGACAGAGATGGGGACAGAAGAGACCCAATCACGATCAGCTCAGAGTCACGTGGCCGAGGCCAGTGATCTGGACCCTGACAGGGACGCTTGCCCCACCAGCAGAGCTGATGCATCCGTGTGCCCCGCCCCACCCCACTAAGAGCCACTTAGGATGCAGGGTGAGTGCTCAGACCCCAGCACAGGCACACCAGCCAATGTCCTAGTAACCCATGCCACCCCAAAAACATCAGGGCGGGAGAGAGTGGCTGGAGGGGGAGGTGCAGCTCTGTTCCAGGTCACACCCACAGCTGCTCCTCTCGTAACCCAGACACGCTGTGACCAGAGGGGTCCAGCAGTCCACAGCCACAGGCCGGGGAACTGAAACTGTCCAGTTTCTTCAGGTCTAGCTGCCCCAGGCCCCACCGGACACACCCAATCCCTGGGCAGGTGTATAAAGGAAGCCACGGAAGATATGTCCATGGGCGACCTGCTGCAGCCACTTTCTTGCTTGGTGGCCTACTGTGCCCCAGCAGGTCATCTCAATGGAGGGGAGGGGTGGCTGGGGGAGCCTCCTCCTGCCTCCCCCAGCCAGTGTCCCCTCGCTCACCTCGCCAGGGGAGTGCTGTTGAGGGGCTTAAGTATCACACTTGATACTTGATGGGGAGACACTGCATGTCCAGTATGGTCTGTGTGGCTTTGCTCTGTGTGTATGTGTCACCCTGGTCCACAGGGGCCTACAGGGTGGGCTTATCGGATCCTAACCCAGGTGTGTCCACATAGGGGTACTGTGTGAGCAGAGAAGGCTCAAGAGCTGGCTTTTCCCAGAGAAACAGAAGGGAAGAAGGCGTGTGATCCTGGCCAAGGCCCAGTCACAAATGCGCCATGTGTCCGACATGGTCTGTGTGCAGGACTCGGGGCCAGGGCTGACCGGCCATCCACAGACGCCCCTGCCCCCCATCTCCAGCCTCCTCCTGTGTCCTCAGGTGACAGACAGCAGGGCAGGACCTCTGGAGTGGAGGAAGGCCTGTTCTGGCCTAGCCCCCGGGCCAAGCCCTTGACTAAGCAGGAGTTGGCTGCCCTCCAAAGTGGGGGGTGGGGCTCTTGGTGCACAGGGCTCCCCCTACACACCCATGCCAAGCCCCGGGGAGAAGCAGAACATGGGGCTGGGGAGCGGGATTCAGGGAGTGTGCAGGGGGTGTTGTTTGGTGGGAGGGGTTCCAAGATGGGGCAAGGGGAGGTAGGGCAGACCAGTTTGCAAATCCATCCAGTGAGCTGGGAGGAGGCTCACAGTACGTCAGGTCTCGAGCCTGGCCCTAGGGGAGGGCTGCAGGCTCCCGGAGCTCAGTTTCCGGAACTCAACGCACCCTGGCCCGCTGCCAAGCCATTGTTTGTGCCGGCGGCCATGCCCAGCTGTAGCTCCTGGCCAGAGGTCACCTCCCCGGCCTGCCAGGCTGCCTCAGCCGCACCTCCCCCGCCCACTCACGCCTCCACTCGTCCAGCGTGCGGTCCACGTCGTCGAAGGAGTCGTCGTACTTCTGAGCTGTGGGCTCGTCCTCCGCCTCGTGCAGGCCCTCAAAGTAGGGGTGCGCCAGCGCCTGGGCCGCCGTCACCCGCTGCTCGGCGTCTAGCACCAGCATCTTCTCCAGGAGGTTCACGGCTGGTGGGATGACAGGGGCTCAGGCCACGCGCGCACCCCAGCCTTGGCCCCCACGCCGGCCCGGGGCAGTCCTACCCTGGGGGCTGGCGTTGGTCAGGATGGAAGCAAAGTCCTTCTTCTCCAGCTGCGGGAGCCCCTTCATGTAGTTCTTGGCCTGTGGGAGAGCCCAGGTGAGGGCCGGGCCCCGGGCCCCGGGCCCTGTGCCCCGCGCCCCCACCGCCCACTGACGTCGGTACTCTGCAGCCGCTGCACAAACTCGGCCGGGGGCGTCCCCGTCACCTTCATGATCTCTTTCAGCTGGTCCAAGTCTGCCTCAAGGTCAGGAGCACAGTGCGAGGCCAGAGAGCAGGCACCCCGCCCCCAGCCCGAGCTGCTGCCCACACCCCCTCCCCAGACCCTGGGGGCCCTGTGCTCGGCCCTCAGCCTGCTCCCGGGTGGAAGGATACGGTCATTGCCTTTAAACAGGATCTTCCCGGTAATCATCTCGGCCATGATGCAGCCCACTGACCAAATATCGACTGAGACAGAAGTCCCCCCTTCGTCAGACACCTCAGGGATCGGGGTGGGGGAAGAGGTGAGGGGACACAGGCCTGCCCCAGTCACGGTGCCCAGGCTTGCAGCCTCTCTGGCCACAGCCTCACCCTGACCCACACCCAGGGACCCAGACCCCAGCCTCTCACCCGTCTGCGTGTAGCGCATCCAGTTCAGGATGACCTCTGGTGCCCGGTACCATCGGGTCACCACATACCCGGTCATCTCGCTGTCTGCCTGCCTGGCCAGGCCAAAGTCCAGGATCTGCGGAAGGGATCTGGGGAGTGGGGGAGCCCTGGGAATCCCCGGGAGGAGTGGGCGGGGCCAGCTTGGGGTCCTGTATCAGCTGCATGTGGAGACCCCTGCCAAACCTCAGAGTCTTGAGTGAGTGTTCTAAGAGGTCTCCCCACCCTGCTGCTGACCCCCAGGGCCTGAAGTCTTTCTGGAAGCCTCTGCCTCTGTGGTCCTGCCCCAGGTCAGGTGTGTGGGACTGGGGCCACTTCCCTGCCCTTCATGCCCTGGGCCCACCTCCTGTATGTCCTGCCCCACACACACACCAGTCTCCCTGAAGGCCGCCAAGCCTCCCACCCCAAATACACACACCTTCAGCTCACAGTCCTCATTCACTGCCAGATTACCAGGCTTCAGGTCCTGGGGACAGAGGAGAGGTGGCCACTTGGCCCCGCTGCACAAGTTGGGTGTAGGTAGTGTGGACAAGGTTACCAAGAACCCAATCACCACCTGAAGGGGGAGTGAAACCCCTTGGCCAGCTCCACCCCTGCAGGTTTTCCAGTGTGGGGTATGGCATGCAACCCCCACTGAGTGACAAAGGCCGCTTGGGATGGGCCACCCCTCGGGGCCACCCTCTCGAGGACTCACCCTGTGGATGACGCCAGCAGCGTGGATGTACTGTGGGGACAGTAAGAGGGTCAGGGCAGCACAGAATTTGACAGAGTGGCCCCACCCCTCCCCGTAGCAGACCACACACCCACCTCCCAGCTACCCCTGCACAGCCCACCTTGAGCCCCTTCAGCATCTGGTACGTGAGGAACTGGATGCGATCCTCGCTCAGCTGTTCATGCTTCATGAGCTTGCCCAGGTCAGTGCCCATAAATGGCATCACCAGGTAACTACCGGGAGCAGGTGGTCACAGCCACCAGGGTTCAGAGCCCCCTCCCTGCAGCTGGCCCCTGGGCACATGCTCTGGAAGACTCCATCCCACCAGGGACCCCTGGGTCAGCCCCTCAGGATGGCGCCTACCAAGTGTAGACCGCACTCGCCTGCCTGGACAGTGCTCACACCCTGCCTCCATATGTGCCAGAAGCCTCCCACACCCTTCATCCTCTCCCTCCCACCTACCCTGCCTGGAAGGTCTGACAGGGGCATGACTCTACTTCTAGGGTACAGAGAGCCAAGGGGCAAGCTAAGGAGCAGGGGCCACACCCTGAGGTCAGCAGGACGCCAGGGAGGAGGGGGAGAAGTGGGCATGGAAGCCAGGTGGGAGGCCTGGAGAGCAGGAATGCAGTGGCAAGGTAGGCGGGCTGGCAGGCTGAGTAGAGAGAGACAGACAGAGGCATTTGGCTTCTCCTCCAAGGGGACATGGGGCCCACTGTGGGTTCGTGACCTCTGCAAGGTCTGGGGCAAGAAGCTTGCTGCCCTGGCAGACCCCTGGTTTGTGGCCGAGGTGGTGTGAGTCCGGAGAGGAGGCTGTGGGGTTGGCTGAGTGAGTGGCAGCAGAGAGAGTCCTCCTCATGGGCTCCCCCACCCACACCGGCAAAGGTCAGTGGCTCCAGTTACAGGCCACACACTTGGTGCCAGGGTCCTGGGCACGGGCCCTGCCTGCTAATGCATCAGCCCCAGGCTCACACCTCGGGTGCCAGGAGCCCCCGTTCCTCTCAGCCAAGTTGTGGCTGGGGTAAGAGGTTCAGGCTCCGCTGGTCCCAGGAGCATGGTGGAGGGGGAAGGGGCCCGGAGGAATGGACCGTGCGGTGGGAGGGCGGGCAGTGTGCACCCCAGCCCCTGTCGGCTGCAGGGAGAGGTGGTGGGCAGAAGCCCCCATACCAATCCAGAACCCAAAGCCTGTGCCCCTCACCAGCCCACCCCCAACCTCCAGCCCGCCACTCACAAGTCTGTAAACTCATCCAAGGTCTCATCAGGAGTAAACACATCAAGCAGCCCTATCACCTGGGGGGAGGGAAGGGAGCCAGGGGTCAGGGCACAGGAACACCTGGGCTGGCCCTGGGTTCCAGGCAGGTATCCCCTGCATCTCACCTCCCCCTCCTGTGCTCTGCCCCTCAAAGCCCAGCCCAGCCCTGACACTCAGGCCACAGACAGGCTATTTTTAGAGGGTGACAGCCGGGATCCTCCAGGGGAGGGGCCCACTCCATCCCAAGTCTGGGATGGCTCCAGCCTGAGGACCCCTAGGGGACAGCAGCATCCAGCTGGTGCTCCCCAGGCCCAGGTAGGCCTTGCCGCAGACAGTGCCCCGCAGAGCCCAGTTGTCAGGGAGGGGCTCGCAGTCAGAGGTAAGCGGTTGGTTCGTCCCAGCCTTAGGGGGCCCCCCGGGAGGCCAGTGTAGCTGGGAGGCAGAGGGGCACAGCAGACAGGTGGCCCAAGTGGCCCAAGGCAGAGAAGGAGGACTTCACACTCCAAGGAGCTCAGGGAGGAAGGCCAGGTGGCCTGGGCCCAGGCCAGGGGGCTTCAAGGCAGGGCCTTGCAACAGGTGAAGGCCTGCTTCAGATCTTAAGAGCTGCCCAGGGAACGTTTTAAATGGGGGGGGGGGGGAATTAAGCGCATTCCCATTTGTTGGTTCTCAGCCCAAAAGTAAACAAGTTTTACTGGTAGTTTATTGACCCAGGCTGGGTGCCTGGATATTGGCAGAGGGGACAAGTATGAGGACAAGTGTGACCTGGGCTGCTGAGGGGGATGGGCTGGGTGGAGAGACGCTGGAGGGACCTGGGAGCGAAGCAGGTTGAGAGCTGAGGGCCTGGGGATGCCACCTGGACAGTGTTCAGCAAGAAGAGGGCAGGGGGCAGCCCTAGGGACTGGGGTTCACAGAGCAGGAGGACCTTTGAGCTGTGGATGGCAGCAGAAGGGGGTCGGGGTTTAAGGATGGGGAGGCCAGTGGGGCCGACCTCTGGGCCGGCACCCACCCTCCCACACACCACTACATCTTGGAAGCCTGAGCTTCCTCCCAGGAATATGGGGTGCCAGAGGGTGGGTCAGGTGACGTGATGGAGACAGCAAGCATGGAACAGCCACCCTTGTGCGCAAGCCAAGTTATTGACCAAGAAGGACACTGAGCTGGGCCAGGGGCTTGAGGGGACAGAACCAGGGCCCCAAAGTGGAAAGGAGTGATGGGGCAGAGGGGGGCCGCTGGGTGCAGCTGGCTGAAGGGAGGTGTGACTGGGAGTGGAGAGCCCAGGGTCTGAGAGGAAACAATGGGGAGGGAGCCAGGGCTGAGTTTGCTGGTGTTCATGGAGACGTGGAAGGGGCAGAGCATCAGTCAGGAGTGTGGAGTGGCCTGGTGGCAGGGGACAGAGCCCACAGCCTAGGGAGAGTGCCCTGGCACAGAGAAGGGCTTTTAGCCACCAGCCTTGGCCACAGGGCAGGCACCTGTAGTGTCCCAGGGTCAGGCCTGAGAACAAGGAGGATGGCCTTTTCCCAGACAGGCCCAGCTCCTCCCCTGATGGCTGAGGCGGGAGGGATGGGCTTCTGCCTGGTGCTCTCCACACCAGCTCCCTCAACCCCTTCACCAGCCAAGAAGCCAAATCTGGAGTGATGGGGCCAACTCTACCCACCCAACAATTCCAGATTCCACACAAGGCTGAGGCGGACCAGTCCTGTCTGGGGCCACAGGCTAGGTGTTGGAGGACTCGGGGGAAGCACCCAAATCGCTCCTCCCACCTGCAGCGTCTCTCCTCTCCGCAGGAGCCTCCAGGGCTGAGCCCCAGCCATGCCCTGGACCGGACCTAGGCGCCTGATAATGGGCGGCCCCAAGGAGAGGCTAGGAGCTGAGGACCCCGCAGGGACCGGTGCAGGCGGCGGCCTAGCCCCTA